ATCGCCTCGGCAAACAATCACTCCACATCAGCCTCCCATAGGTGCTGCTGAGGATACAAGCTCAGTTGACCCTGTTTCAGTTGTAGAGGCAGGCCCTTTTCTGGCATCGGAGGCAACACAGCAAATGATGCCGCTTGCGCGAGAGAATGTTACTTCGGAGGCGGAGGCGATCCAATCTGAATCGACAGCCGGTAATGACACTGCAAACCACCTACCTTCATCAGGATCGCCACCTAGGATGGCATTTTCACCGCCCCCGCCATCACATTCTCAGAAGCCCCAGGCTCCCACGCCGAATGAGGACCCTGTTGACGAACAAGCGGAACATGCGCCTCGCCCTACAGAACTTCTTCGCGCCGGAGAAACGTCCGCGCCCTCTACTGACAACATTGAGAGCCAGAATATATCTGCGTCGCCACGAGCGCCTTCCAATATGGAAATGGACATGTCAATAAATCCCGTCGCCCAGACACGTCAAGACGATTCTGTTTCTTCGCAGAGCGAGGGAATGGAAGGCGCTAGTGACTTAGGGGTTGAGCAACTTGCACACCCTGTTGAGCTAGAATGTCCTGAATCTGCGTCTGCTTTGTCATGTATCACTGGGACGCCTGCAGTGGACGGACAAATGGAACCACACATTAATGAAACTGCACCGCATCAGCCTGTTTCTACCGATGGGTCTGTCCTCGATGGTGAGAGTGCAGAGGGAGGCGCAATCAGGTGTGCTCCAGAATCAATTCCATCGGTATGTGATTCGCTATGTGATATTAATTGCGGACGCCTTTCTTACTCATACCACCTGTATGATTCTTAGCCCAGCGGAACCCCAGCGGACGCCGTGGATCCAGCCCCGGGCCCATCATCGAGTCAATTTGACCAAACCAGTGTGTCCCAGAAGGATGACACGCATGCCATGGCTGAAATGGTAAGCACGATCCTTACGTGTACCGTCCCTTCGTTGAGGTCACATCGCGAACAGGCTAGCCCCACGCCCACCAGTGAGTCTGGAGGGAGCGGAACTGATACCCAGAGGAGCATGGCTGCCGTCGCGCAGCGCGTGTCGAGCGAGGACAGAGAAGCTGACAAGCCAGATCGCGTGGATGGTATAATGAATCTTCTTTCATCATGTTTGAAGGATGTATTCGCATCGGGACTGGACGGGAAGCTTCACGCCGTGCTTGAGGCCAGCATGCAGTGGCCTGGTGGCGGTCAGTGGGAGGATTCGAATACGAGCATAGAGAATGAAGTGACGAAAGGTGATGGAGCGGCCTCTCAGACGAACCATGTCCACCAAAGTGGTGGCATGTCTTTATCCTCTGGGAAGAAACGAGCGCGGTCCTCATCGTCTGATGGAACGACCTTTGAGCATCCTTCGAATAGACCCAGAAGGGGGACCGGGACGGATATCGAAGAAAAATCGCCACCAGCGGCTACTACAGATCCTTCGCAGGGAGTACAGGCGGAGTCGTCGACTGGTCGCCAGGAGGACGTGGCTAGTGCTGCCTCGGCCAGGAAGCAGCTCATCCACACGGCCGGCGAAGACGGGATCGCAGAAAATCAAGAGTCGGGACAAGCACGAAGCCCAGACAGTCTTGCAGAAGGACGGTCACCTCCTCGGGCTGGCCGTTCGACGAGACATGCAGCTCGGGGTGCAGTGGCGGACTTGCCGCTGTTGAAGCCGGGCAGCTACCATCCCAGTCAGCCTTATGAGATCATTTCAATTGTCGAGGGCTCCCCAATGGCTGCCATGCAAGATGTGCAGTTTGAGCTGAGCGACGAAAAGGCGACGCTGGTGAAACGTTGGGTAGACCGGTATGATACCTTTGAGTGCGTACAAAAATGCTGCGCAAAGAAGGGTGCTGATGAGTAATTTAATTTATCAGCCAAAACAGTCCCTGCATGAGTTTCACCCTGATCTGCACGCACCTGCCTGTTGGCCAGACCGAGGACGAGAAGGCGGTCACGGAAGAAATAGCGCAGAATATGGAGATCCAGTGGCCAAGGGATGGTGGGGTGTGGATCACCGTAGAAGCAGACGACCATTCGCCCATTTCCATCCCCGTGTCGCCCCCCAGCTATGTACGTACCATGCGCTCGTGCTTGCGCATAGCTTACTCGCATGCTTCATGGTACAGATCGAGGGCCACGAAGCACTGGACTTATCCGACGTCGTGGGCGGGGGGACCACGAAGATACGATTCACACAAACGAGGGATCTTTCGCAATACCTGTTCATCCTGCGCGCACACCGGCCGACCGAGGCGCAACTTCGCGAGCTTGATATTTCGCTGGCGGGACAGAAATGGACCAAGACGCTCGCGCGCCTCGCTGCGCCGCTGCCTGCGCACGTCAAGGACGGGCTCTTTTCCACGCCGGCATCGGAGTGATGTGTCTGAGAGGCGTGTCTGCTGTTTATGCCAGGGTCTGGGCTCTCCCGTGTGTGAGTACTACTCTGTTTGCTGTGTTATGAGATGTATGTAAAGGATTGGCTGCGATATAGAGATCACGTATATAACGCATACCAGGTATAACCCATACTCCCTGAAAGGCCATACGTTTTTGGATTTCCCGAGTTGGTTTGCAGGGATTTGGTGAGTATAACCCATAGGCCATACCCCATGCATATTTTGCATTATTTACCCTAGGTATGGGTTATGATTACCCCATTGTAGCACCAAAATAGGAAAATTATATTACGTAATCCATCCGAAACTGGCAAGGCCGGCATGGCTGCTAAGCCCAAATAAGATTCTTGGTCAGCGGCTGGACAACTGATTCAGTGCCCGACACATCACATGTCACATGCTGGTATAGAATGAGTGTAAACTACACTAGAGGCCGGTGTTGCCGGCAGCCCCTTGTCGATGCCGTTAAAAGAGTACTAGGATTAAGAAAAAAAAAACAGTTATCATTTGTCACAGCTGGCAATAACCAGCACATAGAAGTGAGCAGAACATCCCTTCCATTCTCAGGCCTAATTCACATGACCGGTACCAGTCGTCTTCATGTTGGCTGCCGCAACCTCGCTGTTCGCCCGCACGAACATCTCTCAATGTTACGTTATCTCGTCCCCCGGCGCAACACCCTCATCTTCTGCACTTCCAGCAGCAAATTTTACGCCTGTCTTCAATGTGGGACCTTGGAAAGTTCAATTTGCCATGCACAAGACCCCAAACAAGCGTGTTTCAGTCTGGAGTTTCGATAAGCGTTCCCCAGAACTTGAGAGATGTGGACCAAGTGCGCGAGAGCGGGTATTAGATGTCTCGAAGGTTGAAGTGCGTGTTATGTTGAGCTTCTTTGAGGTGATCTTTCCGGCGGTGAGATCTCCTGAAAGAAACTACAACAATTATAAAACTTGGATTCGCATTAATGTTGTCATTTAAAGGCCGGAGCCCTTGGTCGGCTGCGACACCCCTCTATCTTAGGTTCAATCTCTTCGTGATTCCGTTCGCGAACCTCGTTGAAATGTTTACATCCTGCAGAAATGGTGGAGCCCCTGGAAGAAACCCGTTCGGAACTAACCTTTGCAACAGAACCGCTGTTATCTTCCCTCTCCCAATCAATACCTTCAGCGTCACGTTCGCCTTCTATTGAATTGGATGAAGTTGAGGTACGTCCTCGATCGCAGACGCGTTTATCGCCTCATCATTCGTCCCTGCAGATTCAGAAAGGCATCCTACAGCTCTGCAAAGGCCTTGACTTTTTGCACACATCGGCGCGCCTCATTCACTCCAATATCTCGCCATCAATGCTAATGTACGACACCTGCATTATATGATGTTTTGTACATCCGTCATGAGTTATTTTTAGGGCGATTGGAAGATTTCAGGTCTAGGACTTACCATAGCCTTAACTACACCCGACGGATCACCAACTCGCTGGGAGTTTCCAACGTATGATTCACGTCTAACACCTCATGTTCAGCGTTCTTTTGATTACATGGGCACGTCATCCTACGCGACCATCGCCATATCTTCCTAATTCCCTCACTTTCAAAGCTCCCGAGTATGCTTTAGACGAGCAACTAACGACAGCATCCGACATGTACGCTCTCGGCTGCTTGATCTATGCAGTTCATTGCAAGGGAAAGCCCCCGTTCTCGAACCACGGTAGCGTCAGTGGTTTGCGAGATAATGCTGGCAAGCCAGCCACTGGTACTGAACATCTGGATGCAGATCTTCGAGGTCAGCAGCACGGCACTTTATACCCCTTCATCGCCTACGGCGCTGATGCCTAGGGTCCCTTTAGCCCTTCTCTCTTCACTTATCACACGACAGCCTCAAGGTCGTCCCAGCCCCACCACATTACCAACATATCCGTTTTTCTCCTCTCTGCTAGTCTCCACCCTCAGCTTTTTGGATCGATCTACTTTCGCGTCCAAGACTCGAGAAGAAAAAATAGCTTTCATGAAGGGCCTTTCTGGTGTACTCCCAAGATTTTCGGATGGGCTCCGTACTCGAAAGATATTACCATCACTCCTGGAAGAAGTGATCTTACCCTCCTCGTTTCCGTTATGTGGATTCTGACGACAATAGCAGATGAAGGACACGCATCTCCTGCCCTCTATCCTGCCCAACCCGTCACAGCGGACAAGGCGTCCTCTATGACACTTCCATCTGCAAAAAGATGTTTGCGGCGTGATTCTGTTCGTATACGTTCAGTTAAAATGACGCCCAATCTATCACCTATTTACCTTCACATGGTTTTTCTGTATTTTCAGAGATAAGAAACCAATGTTACGCTGTCTAAATATTTAAGTTAATTAAATGCTATAATCGTTTATTTCTTATTTAATGATGATAATAGGGTATGGCTTAACAAATCTGGCTAAGAACTATTGAGGCTAACTGGCCTTCAAAGTGTTATTCTTTTTTTTTAATTTTAATTTCTGGCGATACTAAGTGAAAATCAAAAATTCTAAGCAATGCAATCACAAAGCGAGTCCCTGTAAAATCTGGTAAATATATCAAATAAAAACGAAACGGTCAATTTCTTTTAAGGTAAAATTAGTTTAATTTGGTAGAATAACGTCTTGTGGCGACTGTAGTTCAGAGTTCGAGTCTCTGATTTTACCCTACAAAGTTAATAGGGAATTTAACAAACACAACTTCCCGTTTCTGGCTAAAAATGGAAAAATTTGTAGCCTTATTGTTATAAAAATTTAAGTGTAAAATTTTTAATAAACGGCGGCGCGGCTCTCCTAGCCCTACCCCCTCGCTCCCCCTGCCTACCTTCTTGACGGCGCCGGACCGGCGAGAGGGACGGGCGGAGAGGGAGCCAGCAAAACCTTCCACTTTTAATCTTTATTGCTAATTTACTTTATTTATCCATCCTTTTCGCGCTCAATTTCTAACAGACTAGGCGGAAGAGTGTATCTAACAGACTAGGCGGAAGAGTTTAAGTTCCTTTATTTTTTTTTTTAAATCTTGTTGTATTCATAGAGCTTCATGTTATGTTAAATAAATAACCTTTTTTTAAGTTAAGATATCTAAAACTGGAATTTAATTTTTAAATTTAGTTAAGGTTTTTGGTAAAATTTAAAGATACTTTTAAGGCGAAAAAATTCGTGGAAATATTATAGAAAATTACAAATTATTAGTTAAACCAATCTTAAAAAAAAAAAAGAAGTTTAGTTTATCATAAAAAAAATATTTCTATCTAACACTAAAGTATGTTAATTATTTTTTTTATTAATTAAGAAATAATGGTCCTATCTTTTACCTTTTAAGAGGGGGAGAGGAGGACCCTTCCCCTCCCTCCCCTACCGGACCGTTCTCTGTTTTGACACCCTGCCATGTAATCGTTGACGAAACTGGTAAAATACGAGAAGCTATACAGAACGATCCAACAGCGATTCACAAAGACTACAAAACACCTTCTACTATACGGACTTCCGGTAACGTCCTTCTTACCAGAGAAAAGCTGTTCACGCAGGGCCTCATCACCTTCCCTATATTCCCAAATCAACGTAGCCTGCGATGCAACCCACAGCGAATCGGCAATCCTGCGAATAATCCCTTAACATTCCCCCCGAAAGATACCCACCCCCCCCCCACCTAATTTCATCTAACAGGAGGGTGCCGTCGAACGACGGCTTCCTCTACTTCTACCGTTCGACGTTGGACTGTACGAACAGAACAGCCACTACCGTCGAGTTACGGCAGGGTGCGAACTCGTACAGTCTGGTGTTTTGTAGTCTTTGTGAATCGCTGTTGGATCGTTCTGTATAGCTTCAGTCTAAGGTCGAATGGTAGAAGCAGTAGTACCCAGGAGCCGTCGCACGACGACACCTAGGAAATTCTCGGATTTTCGAGCCTCCAGAAAGCACGGTTGGCAGAAAGCACTGCTATACACGATGCTGTGGGATTCGACAGTGTTGGGACGGTTCAGACGTAGTAAGAAAGACTTCGTGCTAACCTAAGGTCTTGTTCTGTAAGAGTTATTCACTTCGCATCGTTTACGGATATGGCTCGACCAGGGCGGGTTGTTAATATTGATTTAAGCGTGAGACGACGGTGAGAGGTCTACGACGGCACTGGAGACATGCCAAGTACGGTTAGCAGAGTCAGTAATAAGAACGTCAGTCATGACATACGGCAGAACGACCGAAATCAGACAAAGATAAGATAGAACCCTAAAACGGATTCCAACGTTGACAAATGCGCTTACTATTTCGCCAATATTTACCAGATCCGGGTACCTGAACATTACGAAAATATTACTTAGAACGGTATATAAAACCCCCACACATAACATCAAATACAAAGAACCGCGATGTCGGATCTATATCTCCCGGGGTTAAGAGCCCTTGTCTACTATCGACAAGGGAAGGAATTGTCTATCGACAAGGGAATTTAATGAACCCAAATTTTGCGCGCTTAGACAGGCGCCAATAAGCCGTCTCTCGAGTAAGGTAGAGGACAGCTAGACTCCGCAACCTCTAAGCGCGCATGACTAATATCAGGGTTAGGGTTAAGGTGGCAATAATCTAGCTCGGATGTCGTTGCCCGTAGACAAGTAACTTCAAAGTCCCCAAACCTACTGTGGCATCTAATAATATATACTCAGTTAACTATAGAAAGCATTAGAGCTCCTCCAATATTGAATCAGGAAGAACTTGATGTCCATGATACTTCCGATTCGCCCAACTTGCCTGCATGCCATTCAACCCTTTCCGGTAAGCATCCATGAATCTCGCAGAACGATTAGCAAACCTGTATCATATCCTCACAGTAAGCTAGTGTTTCCATAGAAAAATAAGGAGGGGAAAGCACCTTTGCATCTGTACGGACGTCAATTTGGCAAAGACTCAATTGAGGCAGAGAAGGATGAGCTGCGGCTGCTGTGCAGAAGGGGTGCCGAAACTCAAGTTGCTTGAAACAAAACCTTCACTGTGCTGAACTTCCGGCTCTTGTGGCTTCAGCGAGGCTTCTTCTACCACTAAAGCAGTGTTCTGGAGTTTGGGAGGAATAAACAATGAGAATTAGGCTCAAGACACCTTGAATGAGGGGGAGAATCAGTCAAAAAGTTTCTGGATTTTTACCAAGTTTTTTTAGCCTTAATAAATCCCTGGCCTTCCTGCGACCCATACTAAAGCTTCACAGCTGATAACGAGGCTCTGTTACTGTTCTAAAGAGCTCCAGAGGCTCGAGATGAACTACTTTTCAGACTCCGCTAGCTCTCGGGAGTTGCCGGATTGAGGCAAATTTCGAGAGGTCAAAAATTTTACTTTCGTCCCCTGCATCTAAAACATGTATTTGAAGATAATGGAGCAAAAAAAACTTGTTTGTTATATTTCAAGACTGAGGGTAGAATAATCCACAAACTAAAACCATAGGAATACAGACAAAGGTCTTCTAAATGATTTTACGGTACCAGATTTCCTAATTGAGTCTTGCTGGCGACACAGAAAGCGTTGCCTCACATTGGCCAGAATGGGCGCTTAGAGGTTGCGGAGTCTAGCTGTCCTCTACCTTACCCCATACTCCCTGAAAACGCATACCTTTGGGGCTATCCCGAGGGGTATGCGTTAGGAGGGAGTCGACTGTACCATGCTGTGTTATGAGATGTATGTAAAAGATTGGCTGCAATATAGAGGTCATGTATACCATGTATGCCCGGAGCATAAGTAAGGATCTGGGGCCGCATGCCGCACGAGGAAACCTGTCTCCTGAATATACACAGGCATCACACGAAAGAGACGTCCTCGCGCGTACCTAGTACTACTAGGGTCGCGCCGTGACAGAAATCAAGGCCTCGTGGCTTTGAAGGCGTACCCACTTCACAATTCGCCTGCCCTGGTCCTGGTCCTGGTCCTGGCGGTTCTGACAGATCCGAGCCAATGATGCCAAGGCCCGTGCGCCCCCTCGCCCTACTTATATATGTGGTGAAAGCGTGCGCCTGTAACTGTTCATGGGTATTCCAGCACTTATGAGGCACCCGAGCGCCGCTGATCCATGCTGCCGCCCTAGCACCTAGTGTAGTGGACTGGACTGTGGACTCTGTGGACTAGGACTAGACTTGCAGTATCATGTCGTCACATAATACTGCAAGTCTAGTCCTAGCCCACGCCCTATGTAGTACCTATAGTACCTAGTCACTACTAGGACGTTCGGCAAAGAACGGCTCGCAAGAACGACTCGGAACGCCACGCAGCACGCAGCACTGTGACGCCACGCAACCCTGTAAAAAAAAAAAGCCACCACACCGTGACACACCGCCAGCAACGAACAACGGTTGGAATTGGAAAGATGGGGGTTGCGTAGCGGCTCCTGATCCGCACCCACGGTGGGTCCACACCACATGATACAGTACATCCCAGGAGAGTATAAGTAGACGTCCGTTCGTCGCATTCGGAACCGTCGTCGCGCACACGCACATGGACACGTCCCTGGCATCAGAGCGCACTGTACTGCAAATAGTCGTGCGAGGGCGCACGCCGCCGACAGGCAGTGCCGCAGCATGTGGTGGTGCTCACTGCCTCCACCGATGCCTATACAGTACTTAGCAGAAGCAGAGCCCACTGTTTGCGCCCTTCCGCCAAGGGAAAAAAAAAGAAGAACCAACAGGTTGGATCGGCCTTGGCAGCCGAATTAAGCAACATCATTTTGGCTGTACGGTACTGTAACGCTCAAGGCTGGCTGGCCAAGACAACAAATTAATTCAAGACAAAATCGTCCAAGTCTGAATGTATGGCGGGGGCGGTATATGCGCGCCAGTGGCACGCAGTGGTGCAACGCATTGCATTTGGTGCCGTCGTGTATGAGGGGGGAGAAAATCGGAAGAAATAATGAAAGAAAAAAAAAAAAGGGAGGCGGGGCGAAAGCAGCAGGAGCGACGGACGGCGTACATCGTAAAATGCATATAAGTGGGGAGTGTACATCATGAATGCATGAGCCTCAATTATTCATTCATGCAAAGCCGAAAAACGAGCCTCATCGCGACGTCTTCTCTTGCGACGACGACGCATGTCCAGTCTCCTCGGCCACCCCTCTCGTCGACACGCCATGGATAAAGTTCTCCTGGTTCTCGTTCGAGATGTCTTCTAGGGAGCGCCCTTTGGTCTCGGGCAAGAGCAGCGTCGAGAAGATGCCGGTAAGCATGAACAAGGCGAAGATCTCGAGAATGTGGTTGATGAACTGGGGGGCGCGTCAGCATCCCCGAAAATCGGTGAAACGGTACGCCATTCACCTGGTTAGTGCCGCCAATGTCCTTGAGCTGCGCAAACCCGACCTGGGCCACGATGGCGCCGAGCTTGCCGGACGCGGCGGATATGCCGTGCGCCGTCGAGCGGTACCGCGTGGGGAAGGCCTCGCCGGGAATGACAAAGGTCGTCGTGTTTGGCCCAAAGTTCTGGAAGAAGTTGGCGAGGCAGTAAAGGAATGTGAAGGCGCCGCTGCTGTTCTTGAGGATGGCGTTGTAGCCAAAGCCCTGGGTGCGCAAAGACGGTGAATGGACCGAAGGCACGCTGGGCATGAAACACGCACCATGATGATAAAGATAATCGTGAGCATGATGAAGCCCATGAGCTGGATCGGTTTACGGCCCCACTAGATCAGAACGCGTGAGCCAGCG